AAAGACGACGAAACGTATTGCAAGGCGAATTTTTCACAACTTCCTGGTCAACAGTTTTACTATGAAAACAAAGATAAACCTGTCGATGATTATTTTAAATATATTCGAAGAAAAAAATTTGCATCCAAATTCCTTGAGTGGCAAGCAATTTGTAGCTGTGGCATGCAGTCCTCTTGTTTTGTCACTAAAAAGATCTTGACTGCCAATCTCTACATCAAAAAATGCCTCCAAAAAAGACTTTTGCCTTTTATAAAAAAACACAAATACCGATGTCTCTTTTGGCCCAATCTTGCTGCCTCTCACTATTCTTAAAAAGTTCTACAGAGGTGTAAAGATAATAATGTGAAAATTGTTCCTAAAGATGCAAATCCTCCAAATCGTCCTGAAGAGCACAAGATCGAAGATTTTTGGGCAATAGTTGAAAGAGTTCTTCGTAATACAGGTGGAGTAACAAATAATAAAAAGGACTTCCAAAAAAAGTGGATTAATACCACCAATATGGTGAAAAAAGAAAATCTGTGAAATGATGGCATCAACCCGCTATAAAGTTCAATTTCTTGCCAAACAACCCATCAAGCCCCTTAAAATTAAGTTAAGACTCTAATTTATGTAAACACATTTAATAATAAAAAAAATTGAAATAAAAAGCATTTATGGTTTTAGAGAAATCTCAATTTAAAGTTGACTGGATTTTTCCGTGTCCACCCGATAGGATAGAGCGGGGCTAGTTGATCATAGGGGCAAGTTGGGCAACTAAAATATCTCAAAAACTACTCATCCCATGGCAAAACATCCAATGGATAAAAGATAGGTATTTCGAATGGTAACAAAATGCGTATCAAATAGTTGTTGGACCGCGGTTTAGTAACATAAAAAAAAAAGTAAAAAAAGGGCCAAAAAAGTAAAAAAAATAAATATTTTTGTTATTTTTTCTATTAGATGCTTAAAAAAACATTTATCTGGAATCACTTAAGTGTTTATATTTTACACATTTATTTGGCTATTCATTATACTTATCCTTTTTTCCCCAAGCCTTATGGTTCTTTTTATAACCTAACTGATGTGTCGCCTTGACTAGTAGGGGTAAGTTGAGCAGATTTGACAACGATTAATAAAATGGTTTTATCAGATGCGAAGATAAAAGTTCATTTGGTGAACATTATAAAGTCCATTCAAACTTTTAAATTAATCATTATAAAATACTCATAACAATTATAAGGTAATATCTTAAACCTTTTTTTTTTTAATATGTATTTATAATTTAAAATTATTTGATTTTTTATTATTTGTAAAATATTTTTACTTCAATATTACGTGGTCAATAAAATCTTTAAGTAGAAAAGTTCTTGAATGATTTTTTAAAATTAATCTTGTTTACTATGTTTATTATGATAGTGTGCATATTTAAAAAACATAACTTATAATTTATATTATAGAAACATATTGATTATTTATACAAGTTAGTCGGCAAATGTCGACCCTTTTGATATAGGTTAGACAGTCGGCAAGTGTCGTCATGGCAGTCGGCAAATTTTGGAAAACGAGGACTTTTTTTTTTTTTTTAGTCGGCAGAAGTTGTATGTATGTATATAGGTATGTTACAATTTTTTTTTTACGTCAGCCGAAATATGCGTAAAAAGCGTTTCCAACTTATTCACAACGCGTTATAACGCGTTGTGAATAAGTTGGAAACGCTTTTTACGCATATTTCATAATGGCCTTAACGTTAAGGCCATTATCTGTTTTACTTATAATAATATGACTTTCGATGGTTTAAGAAGAAATTTGGACTTTTTTTGTATTCTTTACATTTTAATTTTTCATTTTAGTATAAAATATAATAAAGCTTTTAAATATATATAACACTAAAGTCAAACTAAAAAAGTTGATCAAAAAGGCAAACAAAGTTATCTTCGAAGTAAGGGTTTCTTCTTTATAAATTTTAAAAACTCAACAAGACGAACTATTTTTCTTTTTATTTGGAAAATTTAAAGAAATTTTATCATTACCATTATATATTAATACCTTACACAGTTATGGTTGTAGAATCTTTTTTTTTTTTGAAAAAATTTTATGCTTATTCCGATGTCACGTGACGATAAAATAGTCATATTTTGCTATTCCAATCAGATTGGTATATCAAAATAAATATAGTTTGTAGCTTGTAAATAATACTCATTTTAGGGTTGCTGTTGATATGCCACTGATAAACATGAAGGCAAATGCTTAAATGGGCATGTTTTGCTATTGTATATACAGCAATCCAAGTCTAATTTAAAGACTGCCAGAATAATTTATGAAAAGTTTAGTTTTTATCCCACTTATAACCAGATATATAGTTTAGTTATGAAATCCAAAATACTGTTTGGCCATCTCCAGTCATCTAATAGAAAAAAATTTGTAGAGTTATGCAAAAAAACCTTTAAATGTAATCAACTATCAACTATGACAAAAAGTAATTTATGTGAATCGGTTACTTTACATTTAGCTCCTGTTGAAAGAGAAATAGGAAAATCTTTTACTTCTGATATTTTTCAAAAAACAATTAAAGAAATGCCTTGTAAAGATGCTCTGGGTAATGAATTGTTGAAAAAGAGATTAAGCTTTATGTATGAAACTAATGCAAAATTGAAATCGAAGCATAAAGAAAAACTAGCTGTTCTAAAACTCAGAGTTAGAGCAGATCCTTATGTTATAAAAAGACTAAATCAAACAATTAAAAGAAAAAATTTAACCATTCGATATTTAAAGCAAAAACTTGCTAAAATTTCTTCTAAAAATTTAATATTATGTGAAAATGAATTTAAAAAGAAAATAAAAATAATCAAGCTTAAGAAAAAAGAACAACAAAACAATTTGAGTAGTACCATTTTGAGTAAAGATAACCAGATAAAAACTCTAGAAATTGAAATAGCAAACTTGCTAAAAAAATTAGATAAGTTGAAGGATTTTGTCATTGATTATTTGCCTTTCAAAAAAGATAGAAAACCGTATACGTGGCAACTACGATTGATGATATATGATGCCATTGTTAACCAGGTACCAACAAAAAACATTCCAATTTTATTGCAAAATTTTTTTAATCATTTTGGTTTAGTAAATGCAGAAAGTTTTCCACAACACAGCACAGTTGAAGAGATTGTTTGTGAGTTAGGTATAATCATGCTGCTGAAGTTGCCATTTCTACACCCAATCTTACTCTTGGGTTTGATGCAACAACCCAAGAAGGAATCCATATAAATTCTGTTCATTTTGCAACCAAAACAGAGTGTCATGTTATTGCAATAGATCAGTTGTCAGGTGGGACTGCACATGATTATCAAACTCATATTGTATCTTCAATTAATGAACTTGCATTTTTGTATTCTGATTTCCATAATTGTGACTATCAAGAGAGTCGGACAAATATAATTAAAAATATTTCGAACTCTATGACTGACCGTGTTGCCGCTAATCATGCAGCTATTCAGCTAATAAATTCTTCATGGGGTAAAGTTTTAAATTTAAAATGACAATTTAATTAAAATAAATTTGAATTAAATTGTCATGTGCAATCTACAATTGCCGCTGCATGTAGATCTGCATTAAAATCAATTAAAAAAAATAAAGGAGTGCTGTTTGGCAAAGATTGCATAGCTGGAAATATAGTTTTACAAATGAATAAAATGCGATACAAAAATGGCAAAGGAGATCTAAAGGTTTTACAATCTTTTTAGATGAGATGAAATTACCCAAAGGACTCATTCCGCGTTACCGAGGAAACAGATTGCATATTTTATTTTCATATATGTGGTATATTTATACAGCACTATAATTCCTTAATTGAATTTTTAAACAACGATGTAGTTTCATGTGGAGGGCTTAAAAGTAGTTTGAAAATAGACTTTATTAACGAAACAGCCAAACAAGAAATGTGTGTCTTAGGGTTATTGAGTAAGACTTTAACAGGACCATGGATGGCATTATTTTATCAGTCAGGTACAGAAAGTTTAAGGGATGAATAAAAAAAATTTTGATGAAATAAAGCTTGAACTGATTTGTAGAAATAAGTTGAAGAAGCAAAAAAAAGAGGATAAAAACCGAAAAATATTGGCTCTTTAAATTCAAAACCTTAACTTTTCAGATATTTTAATAGCATTTCCAGAACTAGAGTCTAATCAATTATCAGACCTCTCATATATGCTATCAGATACAGTTGTTGGTAGAAACATTTGCCATATATGATTTATTTCTCAAATGCAGGGAGAATTAAATCATATATGGCTTTAATTCTCCCTGCATTTTTTCAAGTTTATTATGGTAAACTTGAAAAAATGAAGTTAAAAATGATAAGCAAGTGTATGTTGTAGCATACTGGAAAGATATTGAAACGTATGATAATGATGCTGTGGATTATGACATTTCAAAATTCGAACCTGCTGCCGATATAATATACGGAGACCTTATGTTATCCTGAAAGTGAATTGATGACTTTTTTTTAATTGCTGTTTTCATAGTGACATATTTTATATTTATATTTGGACATATTATATGCTGTTTGCATATGTTTAAATATTTTGGTTTCTAATTTGTTTTTTTTATATTTTTAAACTTCTTCGAGATTATTTTATAACTATTTTTGTTATATATACAAAACATCAAAAAGCATCTAGAAATGCTTTATTATATAATAAAGGCTTTTTTAGAAGTTTATTTTTTTCTTTTATTAGATACCGGTTTATAATTTTTAGTATTTGTTACTTTGTTTTATATAAAAACATTATTTTGAAAATTCCCCCCCCCCCCCAACTCGCCTTCCCTCCCCACACGCTTTATATTAACCCTCAAGTACGCCCATTTATCTTTGGCCAGAGGCAATTGATGCTTTGCAAAAGGCAGTTGATGCTTTCTTTAGATTTGATAACCTTATTGATAACTAATTTATAAAAATTAAATTTGTTGCGTGAATACTTAAACACCCTCTCTCAACTCACTATGTGCCCGTATCACCGCCACCCAACATGAATATATTTTTAAGGAAACCTGAAGCAACTAGACTTGGTAGGGCAGCATCATTTAACGCTGCAAATGTAAAAGTATTTTTTGATAAGCTAGGTGAAGTTATGGATATATACAAATTCAGTACTTCACAAATATGGAACGTTGACGAAACTAGTGTATCTACAGTTGTAAAAGCTAGTAAAATTGTAGCTGCAAAGGGCAAGAGGAATGTTGGTGCTATGACATCTGGGGAAAGAGGCACTAATGTCACAATGGTAACCGCTGTATCTGCCTCAGGAAATACAGTACCTCCGATGTTTGTGTTCCCTCACAAAAATTACAAAGATTATTTTGTTAATAATGGTCCACCGGACTGTATTGGGGTAGGTAATGGAAGTGGCTGGATTACAGATATTGAATTCAAAAATTTTATGCAGCATTTGATTAGGCATGTAAAGCCTTCAAATGGATATAAAATTCTGTTAATTTTGGACAATTACTCTTCTCACTTGCATTTTGAAACACTAAACTTAGCAAAGGAGAATGGAATAGCCATGTTGTCTTTCCCACCACATTGCAGCCATAAGCTGCAGCCATTAGATGTATCAGTTTTTGGAACTTTTAAAAAGTACCTATCAGTTGCACAAGATGCATGGCTAAGAAACAATCCTGGAAAAGCCATAACAATTTATGATATACTAAAAGTTGTATCTGATTCATTGCCATTAGCTATAACGTGTACTAACATTACAAAGGGTTTTCAAAAAACTGGTGTATACTCGTACAATGCAAACATTTTTGCTGATGATAATTTTTTACCATCATTTGTCACAGATCGTATAGAACCAGCAAATCTTGTTTTTGAGCTATCGCGCGTAGGTCATTCTGAAGTATGTTTAACATTATCTTTAGGTCAATCTGTCAAAATTAGTATTAATAAAGAGACAATGTCACTTATTCCTGAAACTCCTAAAGCATTTTCTCCAGAAACTGTGCAATCTTACCTAAAAACAGCACCAAGATACATTTGAAAAGACAAAAAAAAAGGAAAGCTGCTAACAGATACTCCAGAAAGAATTGTATTAAAACAGCAGCAAACTAAGAAACCTAAAAAAGTTGAGAAACAAAAAAAAATCTACCTGTTAATTTCTTTCAAATATTGATAAAGAGTGTGGTAATAAAGAGACTCAGTTACATAGTATATTTAAGAAACAAACAAACAAAAAAACTGAGAAGAAAGAAAACCAAAAAAAAGTTCTACCAGTCAATCCTTTGCAGATCATGGTATTAAGGAGACTCTGCTGCTTAGTATATTAAAAAAAGTTAAAAAACAATCAAACAATAAAACTAAGATGACAAAAAAATTAAAGACAAGTGCAGAACACGATTATGCTTGTCTTGTATGTTGGGAAACTTATTCTGAAAGTCTACCAGAAGAAAATTGGATCCAGTGTCAAGGTTGCAATCAATGGTCACATTCAATATCTGATTCACATTCTGGTCAAAATTATATTTGTATTAACTGCAAAATGGAAATTGAAGACTAATATAAAGTGTTTAGTTATTATTTTATCATAATATTAACAAGTTTTAAAATGTTTAAAAAAAGTTGTGTTTAGTTCTAAGATTAAAAAGTTTTGTTTTTGTTTTTATTTTAGTATCAAAATTATTAGTTTTAATATTCATATCTTAAATAATTTGTTAAAATTGAAAGTATCTATTTAAAATTATAAGGAAGTTTTGTTTTGGTTTTATAACAGTGTTAATAGTTGTCACTGAAATGCATTTATTTTTTTATTGCTCAACTTACCCCACGCAATTGCTCAATTTACCCCGCTGGGGTAGGTTGAGCAGCCTAATAAACTTTAGACAATACTATCTAAAACAAATCGAAAAAAGTTTTTTTGCCTCAACCATTTTTTAGCAGATCAAATTATCTTTCTAATAGTGAAAAAATTATATTAATCGGATGTACCGTTCAAGAGATCTGTTAGATTTAGTAAAAATTGCCCAACTAGCCCCGCCCTACCCTATACTAAAATTTTAAATGTAAGCTAGTTTATAGATGTAGAACAGGTATTTACACAGAGTATTTGCGTTTTTTGAAAAAAGGTAAAAAAGTGCAAAAAAATTGTCACCCTAATGCGCAATGGCTTACAAAACGATTGACTTTGAAACGAAACAATTAAACTTTTTTGAAACTGATAACAACAATTTGATGGCTTAACCCGCAAACCAGCCAACTGCATGTTGGGTCGGAATCCAGATTTTGATGTCATTTTGTTGATTTTCAAAGTTTCTATGATATGCAAAAAGATCATAATTCAAATAAAATTATAAATACGTTAAATCACCCCGCACACATACAAGCCAACTCCAGGTTTACAAAAAACGATTTACCAATCCAGCTAACTCCCGCCAATTTTGCTAATTTTGTATTGTGAAGTGTTAGATCGCGGAGTTTAAATTTTTAATATAACTTATATATTAATATACACATTTAAAGCTTTCAAAATATAAAGGACCTGAATTAAAGCAAGGTAAGACAATTTAACTTTTTAAAGCATATTTGTTTCCAAAAACAGTTAAATTAAGTTTGATAATTACTTTACAATTACAGAGTCAGCTCTTTGTGAATATTAATACTGTATTTGGTTATGTTGTAGTTATTTCTTAACCCTATATTGCACATATTTATTTTAAAATTTTGAAAAAAACGGACAAATAAAATAAAAGTTATTAAACTTAGAAGCGTGGTTTAAAATTTAAAAGCAAGTAGTAATAATGTCAAAATTTTAAAATACGCTTCTAAGTTTAATAACTTTTATTTTATTTGTCGGTTTTTTTCATTTAATGCAACCAAAGATAATAAATCAAAAAGAAACTCCTGCAAAGTTAATTTTATTCGATAAAAAAAAAGGTTTTTCTTTTTTTAAAGGTGTGTTGCCAAATGGAAACATTATGCAATATCAAGTTAATACATGAATACATGATTCTTGAATACATGAATTCCATGAAATGATTAAAATATTCTTGATTTTTTAGAATGTCATTTACCAAAGACATTGGTCATTGTAATGGAGAAATGCAGAGTGATTTTTCATATTCTTATAAAGACAGTTCAAAAAAAAAAATGTTATCGAAACAATTTCTTTTTCGATCTTCGACGAAGATTTTATGTTACCTAATTACACTACTGTTTTCGATAAGGAAATATTCCCAACGCATGACACACCCACAAGTGAAGTTGGAGTCTCCATTCAAGCTCTTGTGCCAAATCAGGATCCACAAATACCTTGCGGTATAGTTAATAGCTCATCATTGAAAAACAAAGACATTATCGATGAAAAAGATTATAATGCTCCTTTGGTCCCATATTCTGAGCACTCAGACTCAGAATCTGACGGTGATGAGGGAGGGACAGAAAAAGTCAAACGGCGAAGGAGATGTCAGGTTGACAGATCCACATGGAAAGATCATAAAAATTTTGCCAATCGAGAAAAGGGACAAAAATATTTTGGTCGCAAAAGAATAGGCGACAAAATAGTCACTGATGTGCCTAAAAATGCAAAAAGGCTGAAACCAAGGTGTAAATGCGCATCAAACAAAAAATCTGCCTTTCAATGTTTGGATATTTTAGACAGATCGAACGGAAATCTTCGTAAGTTTTTGAAAGATGACTTGGGGAGAAAAGAAGGTGTATGTTGATAGTCTTGCCAAATGCTTTTCTATCAAGAGACCGAGAGACAGAAAGGATGCTTTAAAATCCAAAAGAATTAGCTCAATTGAGTATTATTTAAGGAAAAAAGAAAAATTGTACAGAGTCTGTAAGACAATATTCTTAAACACTCTGTGTATTGGAAAATCAACCGTATGAGGTTGGAAACAATCAAGATCAATTGTCAATCAAGCAGTATCATTGGCAGAATCACCGAAGGTTAGAGAAAATCTATTTCATATAGAAGTAGCTTCACTCAAAGATTTTTTTCAAAGTTTGCCAAAAATGGAATCGCACTACTGTCGCAAATCAACATCTAAGAAATAAATTTTATCCGAATGGTCTACAAAAAAATCCTTTTATAATTTTTATGTGTCTGAATGGTGTTTATCGAACAACATTGCCCATTTGTCTGCAGCAAGATTTAACAACACCATGGAGACCGAAAATATTGCTCTATTCCAACCTAAAAAGGATTTATGTGAAAAATGTTTTTATTTTTGAAAAACAGAAAGACAAAGAACAGGAAGAGTTTGTTTTTACAGTTGATGTACAAGCAGTTTTGCTTGCGCCCGAGTCAAATGTTTCTTCTCTGTATTATAAAACGAAGCAATGTGTTCATAACTTTTGTTTATTTGGTCTTACAACAAAAGCCGGATACTGTTATTTGTGGAATGAAATTGAGGGAGGACTAAATGCTAGCATATTGGGGGAATTCATTATCCAGAAATTTATTCCCAGTCTCAACAGGCAAAACAATATTAATTTTTTTTTTTTTTTTTTTAATTTTATTTTATTTTATTTATTTCGTCATTAAATGAATAATCTTTTACAATGTTTTTTTACAACATAAAAAGTATAACATTAAAGTTTCGACCGGAGCTGGCAGAAGACATGATCTTATCATCCAGCCCCGTTAATATAACTAAAAAAATTCAGCCGATAAAAATGAAAAAGGAAAAAAGAAACTAAAGCAAGAACTGATTTTAAGAAGAAAAGAACTTAAAAATCAAATTATTATTTACAGAAAGAGAAAAAAAATATATATTAATTATTTCTTCTCATTATTATTATTTTTTTTAATTCTCTATTTTATTCTACTTTTATTTTTATTATACACCCACGCACACACACATACGCACACGTACACACAAATATATGTCCGTTCATATATACATACAAATCAAATAAATCTGTATTACATTCCATCTACAAATTGCGTAAGATATAATAAATATTGCATTTACAAATTACGTTATTATTGTAAAATAAAATAATATCATACATGTTCTAAGTACCATACAATATAATTGTGATGTTGAGTCAATTTATAAGACATTAAATAACTAAGATTACCAAAAGTTTTTAATAATACGATAGTAATTGCTTTGTGTCAAAACCAAATAAGTGTTGTTTTGTTGCACGTTTAAAATGTTGAGTTGAATTTAAAGTTTTTATATTACTTGTTAAAAGCAAGTTCCATAACCGCGGCCCTCGGCAAGATATTGAAAAATCAGCTTGTTTTGATAATGTTTTTGGTATAATAAAATTATTTGTTGAGTATTTAGTTTCGTATTTGTGGTTTAAAGAAAAAAAATAAGTTTGGAAAATGCTTGGTAGCATAACATTTTTAAACTTAAACACGAAAATAAGTATATTAAGAATATTTATTTCATAGACATTAGGCACTCCAATTTCTCTTAGTAGTGGTCTGGCACTAGCGTATTTATTTGCATTTAATATCAAGCAAATTGCTCGTTTTTGTATTTTGTAGATCATATTTAACTTTGAAGGATAAGTACTTGCCCAGATAATATTGCAGTAGCTGATGTAGCTATGAATAAATGCAAAATAAATATTTTTTAAACAATTTGTGTTTAGGAGATGTTTTGTTTTATACATAATACCAATAATTTTTGATATCTTATTTTCTATTACTTTGATATGATTACTCCAGCTAAGATGTTCATTAAGAATTACGCCTAATAATTTGATTGAGTATTCTCGTTTAAGTTTAGTTTTATCAATTAGTAAATCAGGTAGTTTTAAGGGGAGGGTTTCAGATTTTGATAATTTTGTAAAAAGAATATATTTACTTTTTTCGACATTTAAGGAGAGTTTGTTAGCCTTAAACCATTCGTTCAGGTTTTCAAGTTCTTGATTAACAGTGTTAAATAATAGGCTAATGTTTGTGTGGCTAAAGAACACTTGCGTATCATCGGCAAAAAGGACAAAGTTAAGTATTAACATACTTAACTTTGATAAGTATGTTAATACTTATCAAAGTTAAGTACGTTAATACTTAACTTTGTC